CCTATCCTGCCGCGTGTCCTGCCACTTCTGTCTGCGCCGGGTGAGCAGCAGGGCCACCGGGACCCACAGTGCAGGCAGGAAGGACAGGAGCGTGCAGGTGGCCCGCACCCAGCCCGGGCAGGGCTTCCCCTGCCCCGAGGGGACTGTGCTGCAGGACACAGGGCCCCAAGGTGGGCATCGGGCAGGGGACAGGTCCCCCCACCTCCACTCCCGAACGCAGCAAGGCGGGCGCTCGGCCACAGGGGCCGTGAGTTGTGTGGGGCAGCTTCACCCCATCTCTTCCCGAGACGAAGCCCCCAGGGTGGGTGGATGGAAAAGGCACAGGGCCGGGGACCGCTCCCCGGGGCAGTGGGGACTCGGGCAGCTGAAGCTCCGGGGCTTGTCTGAGCCTCTCGTAGGGTTTTGGCTCTGAGAAGCCTGGGATCTGGGGCGTCGGGTTCTGGAGACAGCCACTCCGCACACTCCTAGGGGCTGCAGGGTCTCGGGGCTGCCTTGGCCTGATCCGCTGGGCATCGTCAGACGCTACGCTCCCCCCGTAAGGGGGGCAGCACCGCCACCCGAGCTGAGGCGCTGTGGCGAACAGGACAACAGCCTGGACATGACAGGACGGCAGCCACGAGAAGCTCTTTGAGAAACACGGCGCCGTTCGTTCTGTGACTGCCTGGTCCTCTGGGGCGGCTCCTTTCCGGGGAGAATCTGGGCGGCTCAGAGCACGGCCTGGGGCAGAGAGCTGGCTCAAGTCGGGGCCACGTGCCCTCTCCGGCCGGCTCGGTGGCACTTTCTAGTCTGGGACCCGGCTGGGCGTTTGCAGGGCCCATCCCCACAGCACTGGGGAAAGTGTGGCTTGAAGCCACGCCCCTGTGGGAGGGGCTTCAGGGACCTGCGAAGTCCCCGGGGTCTGGAAACTGCTCCTGTCCTCCCGCCACCGACTGAGGCCCTTGCCCAAGGTCACCGGGGCTGCTGGAATCATCACCGTTGCCCCCGGGGTCGTCGGGGACCTGGGGATCTGGGGTCTCAGAGCACAAGCAGCCCACGTGGCCCTTAGGGCACGAACGTCCACCGTGAGGGTCCCCTGGGCCCCGGAAGGCACCAGGGAGGGGCCAGGCTGGGTGTGAGGTGGCCCCGGTGCTCCCGGACCCCCACCCAGAGACCTACGTGTTGGGGGTTCCAGGCCTTGCAGCCCGGGGTGAGCTAGCCAGGAGGGCAGCGTAGGCCACAAAGGTGGTCAGCAGCAGCAGCAGGGGGCTGAAAGCCTTCCAGGTCACCTGCCAGTAGAGGCCGGGCTGCCGCCTGGTCATCCACACTATGTCGTCACAGAACCTGCCACAGAGACACTCAGATCTGCCACGGGCTGAGATCCCCCAGCCGCTCGACCAGTAGCCTCCGTCCTGCCACAAAGATGGAGCCCATGGGGCTGCCCCCGCTCCACTCTGACCTTTGCCCCCCATCTTCCTGAGTGGCCCCCGGACCAGGCAAACTTCTGGGGTCCTGATGAGGACCCAACCCCCAGGCCAGTGTGTGGGGAAGGCCAGAGGGGCAGGTCAGCCTAGCCCAGGGAACAGCAGGACCCGTGGATTTGGCCCTGGGGGCGGGGAACTCCGGCTCTGTGAGGGGTAGAGAACCCTCTGCTGGCCCGCTGTGGGAGGGAAGGCGGCACCTGACCCGGGCCCCCAGGATGGGGACAGTGGCCCAGAATGTGCAGCAGCCACTGCAGACCCAGGAGAAGGTATCAGCCACCCAGGAGCCCACCCTCCTGGGGCCCTCTCCCCACCCAGGCCACTCCTCACGGCTCCTGTGGGTCCCCTTCTGAGACCCACAACCCGTTGAGTCCAGGGCCTCACTGTTCCCCCCTCATCACCACGGACCACTGCCTCTTACTCCGGTCTCTCGAGGTGGGCAGCATCCCTCCGGGGACAAGCCCGCTGTCCCAGTGCCCACAGAGCAGCATGGAGGCCCTGGCATTTGGGGCCTCTCAGGATCTCTTCGTATACAAGGCCAGGGGGCACAACCTCCAGGGTCATCTGGGCAGGGCTACGGTCAGGGTGACAGGTGTGAGTCCAGGCATGAGTGGCCATGAGAGTGACAGATGTGAGTGCAGGTGTGAGTGACAGGTGGGCCACAGGCCCAGGCCAGGTGTGGATGGGCAGGACCAGTGTGGGGCCTCCTCAGAACCCTCAGGAAGGTGGGGCTTGGAACCCTGGGCGGGGCCTCCCTGTGCCCTATTGCCCACCTGTCCTTGGACTTTAGGAGTCCCCCTGCGTGGCTGGGGACTGGTCGTTCTGTCACTAGCGTCCCCACAGCCCGGCAGGTGGGTCCCAGGGGTGCATCTGTGGAAGGGTTTGTTTGGGGAGGGAACTCAGATGGTCCGTCCAGCTGTCCAGGAGACCGGCTGCCTGATGCCTACACGTGTGTACTTGGGGACGCTTGGAGCAGAGGGGCGGGACCCCTGGAAGCTGACTCACCGTTTCATCCCATAAACATAAATGACACCAGCCACCTCGGAGAACGCAAAGAGGTTCAGGTCCAGGGAAGGGACGTAGCAGTCAAAGATCTCGAGCCAGTAGTTTCCCGCCCGCAGCGTGAAGCAGGTGGCCGAGAGGAGGCAGAGCAGGCAGGCCAGCCCTGGACCCAACCCCCATGTTCAGGCGTCTCCCCCCAGCATGTCCCCCTGCACCTACGGAGCAGGAGGACGTGCTTGGATGGGGTGGCCTCCATGGGCAGTGTGGGGCAGAGTCCCCTCCCTGACCCTCAGCGCCCCTGTGACGATCCTTGAGGCACTGAGTCCGACCTGCGGGGTCAGGGCCCTCGAGCCTTCGTGGAGGAGGGGCGTCTGGACATCGGGCAGAGTGGACAGAGGGTAGAGGCAGCAGGGCAGTGAGGACAGGACCTTCAGGGAGGCCTGGCTGGCCACTCACCAGTCAGGGCCTCCTTGGGGACCCATCTGGGCATGACCTTCAAGTCCAGGAGTGGTGTGACGACACTTTCCATGTTCCTGAACATGGATGTCGGGCCCAGGCTGAACAGCATCCCTAAGAAGAGCACAACCCAGACGGGGGCCCCCGGCATGTGGAGGATGGCCTCCGTGAAGACGATGGAGGCCAGGCCTGTGCCCGAGGCTCTGCAACGCAGTGCATGGTGGGCGCTCACATCCACACTGGGGCACGCGTGTGCACCAACACTCTCCTGAGTCAGGCTGCGGCAGCCCTGTCCGGGCTGTGTTATGACAAACAACAGGTGCACCTCTGAAGGGAGGGGACCTGTGCCCCTAAATCCCCTGCAGCAGGTGCCGTGGGGCCTGGGGGCCTTGGGCTCAGGAGCCCATCCGACCACTGTCCCGAAGACCTGACCCCTGACTGCCCCCAGCCTGCTGTTCCTGTCGCCGCATCGGCTGGCCCCGTGCGTGGCTCCTCCAGACACAGCCTGGCTCCGTGGCTACGCTCAGGCCCCTCTCCCTGGGCTCTGGGCACCCACAACTCCCACTCTCGGGTCAGCCTGGATCCCCGCCTGCTGGGCAGGGCCCGTCGGACCTGCTGCGTTTAGGCCGTGGGGTTTTCTAGGAGCTCAGAGAAGCGAGGCACAGGGTCAGCCCCGATCCCTTCACTGCTGACCCCGGCTCAACGCCTGCAGCCACCTGCAGCCTGGCCACAGCCCCTGGGGTACCTTATCCAGGAAGTCCTCCAGGCAGCAGGCCTCCAGGGGGAACCCGCCACCCGCTCGGGCTGGGTGGAGTCAAGGTGCGCGAGGGCAGATGCGTAGTCCTCCCTGGAGATGCTCTGGTCGGGGAGGTCGAAGGCGTTGACGAGGCAGGGATGTTTCTGCAGGGTGGCAGGTGGGGGGAGCAGATGCCCTAGGGGCGGGCCCTGGGAGACCCGGCCTCATGCACACATAGGGGACAGAGGCTGCATCCTCGGGGCCCGGATACAAATGGACCTGCCGCTCCCTGCCTCCCCGACTCGAGGACCCAATGGCCCTGGGGATGGCGCTCCTAGAGCTGCCACGTTGGGGCTGCGGGGGGGCAGCTCTCCTCGTGCCTCCACGTCTGTCTCAGGGCTCGAGGCTCAGACTCCGCGGGGCTTCCACGTTTGCGAATTCTCCTGCTCGCTAGAAGGAACTTGTCACCTTGCATCCAGTCCCCACACCATCCCGAGGGCATTTGCGGACGTGTCCAGAGTGGCTGACGCGCCCGTTCCAGCCAGGCCCCCGGGACACTCTGCCCTCTCATCCGAGGCACTGTAGACAAGCCTCTCCCAGGCTGGCTGCGGCCGCGGTTTTTGCATTTTTGTGCTTTTTGTCGGTGATTTTGCTGTTTAAGTGCTGTCCAGTGTCCCAGGTGCAAGAAGACGGGGATGCCACCTGAGGTACGGCCGTGGGCAGGAGCCCCGTGGTGATGGGTCAACAATTTTGTGCGCTGGGCATCTCGGTGGAGCGGCTGGAAGATCTGCTGTCCCGCGGGGGTGACGCTGCTCACCGCTCGGGCGTGGCCACTGCAGCCTCTCTGGAACATTCCAAGAGGCACACTTGCTCAGCAGTGCCTGGAGCGCCTGGCGGCTGCCCTTCATCCCCCAGCGCAGCCGAGCAGGGTCAGGACAGGCGTCCCCCCACGCTCTGCTGGCACGGCCACCGTCCCGCTGGCCATCCGGGGCCGTGGGGACGTTTAGCAGAGTGCCCAGAGGGGCTTATCTAATGGGCTCTAATGGGCTCTAACCGGTAAACCATGTCTGGAGGCCACCAGGCCGTCCGTCTAACAGGGTAACTTCAAGGGTGGGGGCATCCTAACAGCGTCAGCTCCTGGGGCTGTTGTGACAAATGACCTCAGCCTGGAAGTCTTAAAATAACAGGGATTCATCCTTTCCCAGCTCTGCAGCCAGCCGTCCAAGATCAAGGTGTGGGCAGGACCGCGCTCCCTCCGGAGGCTACGGGAGAGGGTCCTTCCTGCCTCTTCTAGCCCCTGGGGCCCAGGTGTCCCCGGGCTTGTGGCCACGTCCCTGCAGCCTCTGCCTCTGTGGTCACCGGCTTCTCCTCCGTGTCTGTGTGTCCCCCTTCTGTCTCTTATCAGGACACCAGCCATTGGATTGGGGACCCACCCTGTCCAGGACAACCTCACCTTAACCAGTCATCTCTGCAAGAACCCTGCTTCCAGGTCAGGTCCCATCCCAGGTTCTGGGTGGACCCTCCACCCCACTGCTCTGGGGAAACAGAAGGTCATCTGGGGGATCCCCACGTGGGGGCCGAGCTCGGGGCTGCCTCTCCCCAGAGCTCGAGGGCACCGTGCTCACCCGTCCAGTCAGCGCCCGTGGTCGCTGGCCGCCTTGAACCCCAGGACAGAGAAGACAGTAATGGGCGCACAGAGGGAGGTCATGCCGTTGACCAGGGCAATGGTCACCGCGTCCCTCTTACAGTTGTTCCTGGGCAGACACGCGTGTCATCAGGGCCCCTGGGGGCCCACCTGGGCTCGACCTGGAACAGTGCGCTGCTGTGCTCTGAGGACATCTCAGACCCCTCCCCGCCGACACCCTCCCGGGGGCCCGGCTCACACCCAGTGGTCCCCACCCCCTCTCCTGCCGCCCCCCC